GAAACTTGAAAAAAATTTCAATGGTGCATCTTCGTAACTCAGGCATTGGAATCTATGACTAATGTCTCTTATAATGTGACCATAAGTGGTTATTTTGTTTGGTAGGACTTGGTTTGACTACAATATATTTGAATTTCTAGATAAGGTTTGTTAGAACCTCCTGTGGAAGACTAGATTTCTTACTATAGAACATCTACCTGCTCTTGGAATGAGACTAACCCTCAATGTAAAGCTGTTTGCTAAAGATTCAGAGATAAGTGGTAAAGGGTACAAAGGTGCAGAAGACATGGTCTGAGTCTCCTGGAGGAGACTCCTAAGAAAATGAGAAAACAAGAATCTAAAAAGTGCTCTTGTCTGGGTATAAACAGTGTTCTTACATAAGTTCCCCGAAATTTCCCTTTATGTTCTGTGATTTTTTCCCCTTCTGTTTTTCACTTCTCATTTATTTCTGTTCTCTGTTTTTTAACTTCTGTTTTCTTTTAATTCTCTTGAATTAGATGACAAAAAGTGTCACCTCTGCCTTCTGCTGTATCTTAGGATGACTTCCTGATAATAGTGTCAAGAGACACTTGCCAGTTTAGCTGCTTTACAAATGTCTTTGTCAGAGAGAAACTATAGTTTTATCATTTTTGCACTGTGTAAAAAGAAGCTTTGATTTTAATATCTGTGTATTATGTAGCTTTTTTCCTGCTCCGACTTCATGGCACTCCAGCCCATTTTAATGAATACCTTAGAAATGCTGAATCACTGCCATTCTCATGGATCCCTCGATTGGGGGTAGAGGTGGAGAGGGAATTCCCAGATATAGGTTGCCAAGCTGAGCTCTAAATTTACATCTTTCAAAAGGTCCCTAAATATTCAGTGCTGGTCAGGCCTCATTACAGTACAGCTATGGAGTTCATGTTTAGTAACTCTTTTGAAATTGGTGAATTTAAAAATAGATTGCTCAGAGCATCTCTTTTCATACCAGTGTTTCTAAAACCTTTAAAGTGAAATGTTTAAGAACTTTTTAAATCTCCAAAAAGGGCTATGTATAACTTGTCAAACTGCCGTTTTTGAGAGTGAAGTAGCATGCTTTATAATTAAGCCAGATCGTGTACTCCAGTTCTGTCTGCATAAAATAAATAAATCTTTAAAAAAATAATTAAGCCAGATCATAGGCCTAAACCAAGAAGGTTAGAACAAATCTCAACAGTTATGGTTCTGGAGTTCTGGTGTTTACCCAAATTCAGATTTCTCTATAGACAACTTTGTTTTCTTAGGAATTCTTTTTTGTTAAAGATTTATTTATTTATACGTACAGAACTGGGGTATAGGCCAGAGGTGTGGGAAGTGAGAGGATTCACCAGAGACAGAGTGGGGAGCAGAACAGGCAGAGTGACTGAAACACACTGCTGAGGGGAGCAGTGGGTGAGACAGGAGATTTCTGCTGTGCCATATGGGTCACCTCCCTGGCTGGGGATCATACTCTTGGTGAAACAGCTGCAGCTAGCTTCATAGTGCTGTGCCTTAACCCATTGCACCACTGGGGATAATTGATAATTGATGTCAATTTTTCTCTCTAGCCAGCAGGTCTGTTTACCACCATGTAGAAGTATTAGGGTCTGAAATGGAAAAGTCTTTTGCTTTGTTATCAAGACTGTTATGCTTGCAAAAGTTTCACCAATGAAGAACATCAGTCTTCATTGCTTCATTCATGTGCTTTTTTTTTATTATTACAAAAACAAGTATTAGCCAATTATGTGGTATATTGATAAAATAGGTCGTACATTTAAAAAGAGGGAGGAGCAAATTAGATTAATTCATTTATAGCTAATCCTGTGAGGCCTATTTGTCAGAAAGATAATAAATCTTTTTCTAAAACTTTTCTTCCATGTAAAATTACTTGTCCTGTATCCTACTATCTTAGGATTCTTTCTTCTTGCAGCTGGCAAGGGCTGAAGAGGAACACTAAGCACAGCATAGGATCTGAGGGAAAGCGAAGGTCATCTATACTTTAGTTGGTTTGTGTATAGCTTTGTCTTTAACTTCTGGGCTCCCCGCCACTCCAGGTTGAAGAAAGAGATGAGAGATGTTTAAATGAATTCAGATCACCGTGATTATTATTTTTTAAATTAATGGATTTATATATTTTTTATTATATTTTAAAAGTTTTATTTATGCATACAGAACTGGGGGTACAGGCCAGAGGTGTGGGAAGTGAAAGGATTCACCAGAGACAGAGTGGGGAGCAGAACAGGCAGATCCACCAAGTACACTGCTGAGGGGAGCAGTCGGGGAGGCAGGAGAGGTCTGCTGTGCCATGTGGTCACCTCTGGTCCAGGGATGGAACTCAGCACTGAAGCGGCTTGCAGTGCTGCACTTTAACCACTATGCTCCCAGGGAGGGCCCAGTATATATTTTAAATCATGGTTCATTTTTGAACAACATTGCTTTCTCCTCTTAGGCGTAGTGCCTGTAAAATTCCCACCACAAGTTCACCACTGCACCATCACCATGGTCACTTGTGCTCCCCCATCCCCCCCCCTTTTGATCCCTCCCCCCCCACCCCTGCAGAATGTCTCTGATTTGTAGTTGCTGATCCCTTATTTGATTCTCCTATATTCCTTTTATAAGTGAAACCACTGAAATTCTTTTTCTTTCTGACTTATTACATTGAGCATAATCCCTTCCAGCTCCATCCATGCTGCTGCGAATGGCATGAGTTTCAGATCATTGTGATCACTATCATTTCCTCCTCTATTTTAGCACAAGGCTGGTTCTATTTTTTTTGACTATCCAGAAGCTAATTACACCATTGTTCTTGGTGTGGGCCAGCAGAAAGAGACACTGGGCCCTTTTTCAGATTTGTTAGAGTGGCAACTACATCATATGAGAACACAAACTCTTTATTGGCTTTGCAGCCTTCTGAAGTTTTCCAGGTATTCCTAAGATGTCATTATAAAATTGTACTATATAGAATTCAGGCTTGTAATAATTTCACTAGAACATAGCAGGTTGTAAAGTAAATAATGATTTAATACTCACATGTTATAAAGAGTGCAGTACTTCCTGTGAAATTTCATATTGTACTCAAATTGACATTCAAAAGATCTGCAGGTTATTGTTAACCATCTTTGGCACTGTGACAGATCAGCAGGAGACATAAATTTGTTCATA